CAAAAGCAATATACAGATTCAATGCTATTCCAATCAAAATCTCAATGGCATTCTTCAAAGAAATAGAACAATTATTGATGAAATTCATATGGAATCACCAAAAACCCCGAATAGCCAAAGCTCTACTGAAAAAAAAAGAAGGAAATGGAGGCATCACACTCCCAGACTTCAAACTATACTACAAAGCCATAATCATCAAAACTGCATGGTATTGGAACAAGAACAGACATACAGACCAATGGAATCGAATAGAAAATCCAGAAATAAACCCACAGATGTATGGTCAACTAATCTTTGACAAAGGAGCAAAGACTATGCATTGGAGCAAAGAAAGTTTGTTCAATAAATGGTGCTGGGAAAACTGGGTCGCTACATGCAAAAGAATGAAGCTTGACCACTACCTCACACCATACACAAAAATCAACTCAAAATGGATTAAAGAACTAGACATAAGACCTGAAACCATAAAATACATAGAAGGAAATATAGGCGAAACACTACGGGATTTGCACATCAAAGACATCTTTACAGACACATCACCCAAAGCAGTGATAGTGAAGAGAAAGATAAACAGCTGGGACTACATCAAATTAAAGAGCTTCTGCACAGCAAAAGAGACAATAACAAAAACAAAGAGAAACCCCACCAACTGGGAGAACATTTTTGCACCCAACACTAATGATAAAGGACTGATCACAAAAATCTGCAAAGAGCTGATGAGACTCAGCAACAACAAAGAAAATAATCCAGTCAAAAAATGGGCAGAAGAGCTAAAAAGAAACTTCTCTGAAGAGGAAATGAAAATGGCCAACAGACATATGAAAAAATGTTCAACATCACTTGTAATCAGGGAAATGCAAATCAAAACTACCATGAGATACCATCTCACACCAGTGAGAATGGCACATATTAAAAAAACTAGCAACAGCAAATGTTGGCGAGGATGTGGAGAAAAAGGAACTCTTGTGCACTGTTGGTGGGAGTGCAAACTGGTCCAACCACTATGGAGAGCTGTGTGGAGATTTCTGGACCTACTAAACATAGAGCTTCCATATGATCCAGCAATTCCACTCCTAGGTATTTACCCAAAGGACACAGAAACATCAATTCCAAAGAGCACCTGCACTCCTATGTTTATAGCAGCACTGTTTACAATAGCTAAGCTTTGGAAACAACCCAAATGCCCAAAAATAGATGACTGGATCAAGAAGATGTGGTACATATATACCATGGAATATTACTCAGCATTCAAAAAAGATAAACACATGCAATTTGCAGCAACATGGATGGCGCTGGAAGGGATCATGCTCAGCGAAATAAGCCAAAAAAGAAAAGAAAAATACCGGATGGTCTCACTCATAGCAGGAATCTAGAAAACTTAAATAAGGGACCAGGAAAATGAATATAAGAAAGTGAAAATCAAAATCAACAAAAAAACTATGAACCAGAGACACTTTTTGGGGGGTGGGGGGGGGGAGGGGAAGGATTGGGGTCAGAATGGGGCGTTTGCAATTGTATGGGGGAATATAAAAATAAAATTTAATATTTAAAAAAAAAAAAAAAAAAAAAAAAAAAAAAAAAAAAAAAAAAAAGCTGTAAATATTTTGTCCATCGCATTCATATTTTCAAACACCCAGTTTTGGGGTTTAATTTTTCTCTTGAAATGTTTAATCTTCTTTTTCATTCATTTCTGCCCATTCTTGAAAACCTTCATTTCTGAGAGAGGTATATTTCAGTCTCTATCTCTGCTTGCAGATTCGTCAATTTATCCTTGTAATTCTTTCGTTATTGCTTTATATTTTGAGCCTATTTGCTGGCATATACAGGTTTACAACTCTTTCACCCCCCTTTGAATTGTTTATCATTAAGTAATAATTTCCTTTATCCTTAATGATACTTTTGTTTTGCCTTAAGGTCTGATAGTAATATTCCTATAGCAGCTTTCTTGGGGTTGAGACTTGTCTTCTCTATCTATTTCCATCCCTTCTATAACCATTTTGTACTTCGAATGTGAAGCTTATGATGTAGCTGGGTTTTATTTTAAGTTCTAAGCACGGATTCTGTTTTGATTTTAAGAAACAGATTCAATCCATTGCCACAGAATGAGATTAATATGTTGACTCATTTTCATGTTATTATTTTGTGTTTTGGATTTGCTCTGCTGCTTTTTTGATTCAGTTCCTTCTTTCCTGTCCTCCATTTGGAATGCTGTGCTATTGTTATTCTCCTTTGATTATTTGGCTGTATACACTGTTTTTCTGTTCTCTTAATGGTCACACTTAAATTTGCAAGAGACATCCTTTACTCACCAAAATCTAAAACTTAATCAGAGCCTCTATTATTTTCTGCTCCAATACAAATTCTTAAACTGTTTTAAATCTATTTGCTCATCTTGTTTTCAAGCCACCAAATAGAGTCATTATTGTTGTAATTATTATTTTAAATAGTTTATTTGGACGTGCTCATAGGCGATGGTTTTGCTTACTATCTCCTCTGAAAGCCTACTCCTGCCTTCTGGGTTCGATTCCTTCTGACAAAGATATTCTTGGGCAGATGCTCCTTTGCTAGATGTTGTTTTTTTTTTAGGATTTGCGGGTAGTAAACTCTCTTGGCTTTGCAGGAAAATGTATTTCAGTCTTATTTTTGTAAAAGATTCTGAGTGTGGAGTTGAAGTTGACAGTATTTTCTCTCTGCTCCCGGGAGTTTAGTTCTCTTTGCTGATGGAAGTCTGTGGTCAGCTGCTCTGTTGTCATTTTGCACAAATCCCTTTTCTCACAGGTGGGTTTGCAGCTTTACCTTGGGGCCCTGCACTTTCCCCAGCAGCTCCTGGAGGGGGGCTGAGTTTATTCTTCTGCTTGGCTGCATGACTCTCTTCAGTCCAGGGGCATCCTTCACCCTTGGTCTAAACATTGCTTCTTTCTGCCTTTCCCTGTATTTCACCCTGGAATCTCTAACAGTCCTATTTTCATTTCTTTCTTTTTAAAAAAGATTTATTTATATTTCTTTATGCATACAAAAGCTGGGGTGCAGGATAGAGGTGCAGAGTGGGGAGCAGAACAGGTAGGTCCACTGAAATACGCTGCTGAGGGGAGCAGCAGGGAGACAAGAGAGGTCTGCTGCGCCATGTGGGTAGCTCCCTGGCCAGGGTTTGAACTCAAGCCGCTTAACCCCTGTGTCACCACGGAGACCCCTATTTTAATTTCTTTAGAATAATTTTCCCCTCTGATTTTTCTCTCTTCTCACATTCCTGGAGGTGCTAATTCTTGGTGCTCTTGCCCACTGATCTCACGGCAGCTTTATCATCGTGTGGTTTCTTATTTGGGTTTGGGCTCCTCTCTGAGCTGGCACATGCATCACGTGTGATCTGGCCGTAGGAACATGCCTAGACCCATCTGGGTTGGCTCCAGCATGGACTGGCACCGACTGAGGTCAGTGCATTTTCTGGGAGCTCCATTCCTAGCCTGGCATAGAAATCTGACTCCAGGCCACCACATTTCACATATCCTCTTAGGAGGCAGCTGGGCCCACTGTCTCTAGTTCTTAGGAAATCTTTCTTCGATCTGGGACACGTGGAGCTAATTTCCTCTGCTTCCCCTTCTCCACATTGGGGTCTTCCTTGTACCTTTTCCCCAGCAGAACGGCTCTCCAGGGCTCCAGCTTTTGTGGGATTCTGAATTGCTGTCACCTTCCTCTTGTCCCAACCCCAAAGGTCAGGTCCCCTTGCTGGGCTCTGACTAGCCTTCGGGGTTGCAGGACCCTGACTCACTAGCCTCTGCTCTGGGCTCACATCTTCTCTTCGTTTCTGCCTCCTGGGGTTTCTCTGGCTCTCAGGCTTGAACAGCATGACCAGCAATTCTCCGAAGCTGCTATTTATGCTAGATTCCTGTGTGCTGTGCTCGGGCTGGGGCTGCCGCCTCAGCTCTCTCCACCAGCTTGCGGGAAGTCTCAAGGCATCAGTGTGTAGGCGCCAACCACACAGTAAAGAGCAAGAGCATTGGCACAAGGCAGGGGAGGGATAATCACTGCAGACAATACTGGCTGCTAGACAGCTCTTCCTTCAGAAATGCACAGTCATCCCCGAGGCTTACCCTGTGCAAAGCCAGGACCTGCAGCTCTTTAAAACAAGTGGACTTGCCAGTGCCCAGAGGGCAGCGACTCTGCCCTTACTCTCCGAATCCCCATGTTCTTGTGAGCCAGCACGCTCCAAGAGGGCACGGTAGGCATTTGACAAAAGAACAAATAAAATCAGCTCCTTGTCCAAGTTACATGTAAAACTTCAAATTCCAGAAAAGCTGCCCAAAGAGGGGTAAATGTCACCGGGTATTAACTGCCCTGCCACAGGGTCAGATCTGCCTGGTGGGTACACTGAGGCATGGTAAGCAGAGTCAGATGTCCTTTGAATTTTTTTCTTTTTTAAAGATTTGTTTAGTTATACAAGAACTGGGGTACATGTCAGAGGCGCGGGAGGGTGAAAGGATTCACCAGAGACAGAGCAGGGAGCAGAACAGGCAGACGGACCAAAGACACTGCTGAGGGGAGCAGCGGATGAGACAGGAGAGGTCTGCCGCACAATGTGGGTATCTCCCTGGCCAGCCGGGAATTGAACCTGTGCTGCAGAGGCTGTAGACAGCTTCACAGCTCAACCTGCTGCGCCACTGGGTGGGAGGGGGGCTTCCAAGTGCAATGTGGCCAAGTTCAGCCAGGGTGACGTTTTCTGAGCCATCTCTAACTTTGGCTCAGTTCTCCAGAAAGTGTCCTGCAGTCCCTGGCAGGTGGTTTCTAGGTCAGTCTGCAATGAAATCATACCTCCCTGGGCCGTCCCGACCCCCACCGGCCAAGGCTGAGTGTTCCCAGAGCTACCAGGGCTGGTGAGATGCTGAGTGACAGGAAGTGAAGGATCTGGGGGTCTGACCTTGCAGGACAGAACAGCCAAGCACAGTGTTGCTTAAGCACAGAGTTGCTAGCACAGCGCGGTGGCAGCCCCGGCTCCCGGAACTTACCGTGTAATTTCGAGTGAGGGTGACATCAGTGCCATCTTGCAGGTAGTGGGTTTCTGTGAAGCCACCAGCAATGAGGCCTCTGCAAAAAACAAGAACGCACAAAGATGAGCAGTGTGGGGTCACATGGGTAGGTTGCTCCTGAAGGTCTGGGCCACAGGCCAGCCCAGGGCTGACCCGCCCTCATTGCACAGACGGCCCCTGTGAGGCTGCGGGGGGCCTGCATCCTGTTTGTGTTATTCAGGGGTCAGGAGGAGACTCAGGCAGGTCAGATTCAGACGTGAGCTTCCAGCAATGGCCCTTACAGTGCTCGAGAGCCCCGCCACAGGCACGGGTATGCACGCTGGAACACATAGAAATGTGTGCTGGAACTTACACACTTGTGCAAATGCATGCTGAAACGTACACACATACACTCTGCTACGAGTAGCACTTGCAGATTTCTGCGTACCTACTACGCACTCGGTGCTGGAGATAAACAAGAAGTCGCGAGGCCCTGCTTCCCAGAATCAATGACTAATCCTGGCAACGGTGGCCCTGGGGGGGCTCCCCCTGGCTATGAGACCCGGCTGCTAACATTAAAATGTCACAGAAGCGTTGGGCACAGCAGTGAAATATTGAAAGCAGTGCTAGAGGAGTCGAGGAAAATGCTCTGGGAACACCCAAGGGTTGCGTTTCTGGGATGAATTGAAGGAGAAAATCTCTCATTTATGGTAACTGAAACTGTGTGTGAGCTGCTAGAGCCTCACTGACGAGGGCGAAGCATGGACTCATTTAGATTTTAAATTATTTGGCAATTTCTTTTGCACTATTTTATCCTTCCAGCATAGCTGCAACGGGTGTTTCATGTATATCTACTATGTGCTTGGGTGCTGGGGCTACAAAGATAAACAAGGACATGACACCTGGCATGTGAGAGGTGAAAGGTAACCGGGGTGGGGAGGGCTGTTGCCAAGGCGGGAGGTCTGGCTGGTGGCTGGAGGCATAGCAGGGTGGTGGCGCGAAAAGGGAAGGCTGTGCAGAGGAGCTGGTGGGTGCCACAGAAGTCGGCCAAAGGAGGGTGGGAAGAGAAGGGCTCTGTAAGCAGAGGCTGGCAGGACCAGCAGGCCTGAGGGTCTGGAATGCAGAGCCAGGTGGGTGCTGGGCAGGGAGAGTTGGGCTGGAGCCTGGTGGTGTCTCTGGGCAACAAGGATGGAGCGTGTTTTAAATACCAGCCTTTGCAGCGCCTGCAGATAGAGCCCTGTCTTTAGAAGACCTGCTGCCCACCTTGGTCCTGCTGGGGGTCACTCCATGCCCTGTCTGGAGATGAACGTGGCACGCATGCTCAGCCAATCACAAATCTTGGCTGAATCACGCTTTGGGTGGGCGCTTTGGGTGGGGGCTCGTGGGCAGAGATCTTGCCTCTTAGTTCCCAAAGCCCCAGGTGTGAGCCCTGGGCTCCTTTGGCCTGGCCTGGGGCTCCAGAGGGCGCTGCCCCCAGGGCAGCACAGCCAACGGGCAGAAGGCAGAGCGGGGAGGGCTTCCAGGTGCCGGGGCCCATCCCACCTCCCTCTCCTGGTCCTCAGTAGCCCCCTCCTCTGGCTCCCACGGGTGGGAGCTGGGGTTTGCGCCAGAGTCCTGATAAATACCATCAGGGAAGCTGGACGTGGGAACGGGACACAGGAACAGATGAGACGTGCTTCCTTCCAAAGTCAGATTTTTAGACCCTCTCCCAGCCAAGTCCAGCGCTGAGAGTAAGTGCGCTGTTTTATATGGATTTCCATCTACTTAGGACATGCCTGGTTTAAATCCAGAAGCTCCTTCCAGCAGGTCTGAGATCTGCTCTCTCAACAGCGAGCCTCTGAGAAGCGAGGGCCTAAGTTATGAGACAGACGATGCCCCCCACTCCCTGACAGAGGCCCAGCCCCCCGCCCCCACCCCCCGCCTCCGCCCTGTTCAGGGGTGAGATCAGGCCGTGAGGTGACTCTCCCATTGGCTTTTGGTCTCAAGTCTGCATCTTCTGAGCACCCCTGCTTGAGCTCCTACAGAGCCCGTGGGCAGGCGCATGGGGTCAGGGGACCCCCCCAACCCTGCAGAGAGGGCCAGGAGCAGCGGGAGGGAACCTGGGCAGGGGCAGGAGGGGGTGCTTTGAGGGCGGGGGGGTGCCCCACATGGCCAGAGAGCTCCAGGAAGCTTGGTCAATGAACCTTTCCAGAAGGTGGTTCTGAAGGAAGCAGAGATGGGATGTGAAATTGAGAGGGGTGACTGGAGGGGAGGGGCCCCCGCAGGGACAGGTGGGGTGATGGGGATGGGTGGGGAGCTGCAGCCTCACAGGAGCCGAGGGAGGATGGGCAGAGCACAGGGGAGGCAGGAGCAGGTGGGCGGCCCACCTCCCCCAGCAGGGCAGGGCCTCGGGGGTCTTGGTGGAGGAGGAGCTTGGTCAGATTCAAGCCCAGAGAAAGGGCGAAAGGAAAAAAATATAATTTAAATTATATGATTATTATATTATTAACTTTACTAACACTTATTATTTTATTAAGCTCACAGTTTATTAATCGTTCAGTCATTCCATGCTTAGCAAAGCCAGGCCGGGCCCTTCTTTGAACAAACAAGGCATATGAACACTTAACATGAAGAGGATTAACTGTCATGGAAACTTCTAGACCAAAGAGACATGATGGGAAGGCTTCTCACTGGGGCTCTGAGACTCGGCAAAGTGAGGTGACCCCCTAAGAGGGGCGAAGGGTGGGTGGACGGATGGCTGGAAGCTGGGTGGCTGAGGGGAATCCCACACGCACATGCCCTTGTCCGGCGGCCCCGTCCTGCCCCACAAACACCGTTCCGCGTCCTTCGCACGCGCCTGGACAGGCCGGGGGCCGTGGGGGACGCTGAGCAGCGGCTCAGCCGGGCTCTCTGCAAACTGGCTGCAGCACAGCTGCTTGAGCAACCCAGAGACACAGGTGGGTAGCGGCCTGCTGGCCACAGAACAGCAGCGGACCTGTTTCCTTTAGATTTCCCTGAGGAGAAAATCCAATTAGTTGGATTCCCTATGTCAGCAAATGGAAACAGAAGGTGAATGCATAATTTCGCGAGAACATTCTTTTCTCTGCTTATTAGGTTAGCCGCTCTAACAAGGAATTCTGCCCCTCTCCACACGAGAAAAGGAGATGAATTTTAACTGTGCTAGGAGTTAATTTTGCTGTTAAAGTGACACCTAATTATTCTCTCCTTTAACAGTATTTATGGTGCTCAGCGCAGAATAGGACACCCCAAAAGCTCACCATCTGCTGAAGGAATGACCGAGGGATGACCAGCACCCAAGCTTGGGTGGGGGGCTCCAGGTTTCCAGCCCAGAAGCCTGCCTGGTGCCCTTGTGGGCCCAGAAAGATGGGGCAGGAGCAGGGCTGAGTGGGGTGCAGCGAGGTGAGAGGCAGCGAGGAGGGAGGAGAGCATTCCAGACAGCAGAAGCTATACCTGCAGGCATGGAGGGCACAGAAACAACATGAGCGGGGGGTGGGGATAGGAGCTTGTGGGGTTCCAAGTTCTTGGGGCAGAGGGACATGCAGCTGCTGAGATGGGCAAGCTGGGGAGCAATCCCATAGGCCTCAGGTGTCACCGACTTTACCCAATGCGACGGGGAGCGCTGGACCAGCAGCCACCTGAACCCACCCCTCTGCAGCAGGTGCTTGAGACCCGGATGGAGGGTGGGAGGCAGCAGGGGCTGATCCTCTGAACAAAGGGCCACACCAGGGGGGTCCTTGGGAGGGGAATTTAGGAGCAGGGGCAGGGCTGGGAGCCTCACTCCTCTACAGAGACATTTGAGTCGGGGATCCCTAGTGGAGGTGGGAGGAGGTAGGAGGCTCTGAGCTCACCCGCTGGAGGCCGAGACTCCCCAGAGAGCTGCTGGGAGTGAGCCGTGGGCTCGGAGAGCCCCAGTTTAGGAGCTGACTGGTGCGGAGACATGCGTCTCCTCACGGGTAAGCAGCAGTCCCCCCTCTGGTGCAGCATCGTATTTTCTGGTTTTGAAATCTTTGGGTTCAGAAAGCTGGAAACGATCATTTAGGATTTGCATTAAAACTTTAGGGTTCTTATTTATACAATGCTTTACATTTCTGAAACAATTGAGTGCTGGAATAAAAAAATTCCCCCAAATTGCTTTCCCAAGATCACTACTGAAATGACCCTCCACTAAATCCTCCATTACAGAATTTAATTATATAGTTCAAGCGAGATGGATCTCATCAAAATGACATATTTTATTCCCCAAAGCACAGGGGAGCAGGCAGAAACCCCCTCCGGGAGCCCTTTCTCCATCCCCACCCCTGGAACGAGTTAAGTCCTTGGGCCCTGCCAGGATGTGTTCCAGAACTCGCCTTATTCTGTCCTTGTGGACTTGTCATGTCCCAGATTGGGCTGAGCCAGAGGGAGGAAACCACTTCCTAAGCCCAGCAGAGCGCCTGGCACACAGCCCGAGTCCCATCCATAATGGATCACAAACCCAGGGCGCTGGTGCAGGACAGAGACCCAGCTTGGATAAAAAGTGTTCCAAGAAAGTGGCTCAATTAAAGTTGAAAGATTCGCGGCGCAGAGGTGCCGCCACTGATCAAGAGGGGTGGGGGTTCGCGGCGTCACACTCTCTTCCCCTTTCTAGGAACTCCGGATGGCGCCAGGTCAAGGCCAACCCTCACACTGAGGAATCACTTGAGGCCCACTTCCATGAGCGAACGGGCAGCTGGGACTGGCCTCGCTCAGAACGAGAAGAGACTCATCGACGGCAGGTCAACTTTTCATCATGTTTCTTTGAAGACAACACACGTGGCTCGAGGGCTTAGTTATTCTGCACAACATAATCACGGAAAAGCGTCGCAAGACAGCTCTTGTTTGTCAATTAACACCAGGAGGCACACGGACCCGCTCGCAATTAAATCCCACATCCATGGTTGGCTCCGCCATCTTCCGTGCGTCCCACTTGATATTCAAAGGGCTCGACCCAGTTTTCTGCTGAAGATTGACTTCGCCATGAGTTATTATTCCACAAATTACAAAATCATTCATATATAAATTTGGGTAATGGCTTTCTTTTATGAGAATTTGGGTACAGCT